AAGTATCGCCAGGACTAGAACCGTGGGCCATACAAGTGGTAACACACCATTAGATCTTATTCTAGTTCCGCCACAATTTTGCTTGATATGGAGTGAATTTCGACTACCTCAACAACAGACCTTCAAATCGTAGCGTCTTGGAATGAAACAAATATTTCAGCGAAGAACTAAGTGCACTCGAAAATGAAAATGAAAATGATGAAGGTGGTGCTCGCAAGAAACGTCAGATCTCATCGATTTCTAAGAATTGGGAGAACAATACGGTTTTTTACTATTTCGACGCCAGTATAGGTATGTTTTCGAAATTCCAACTTTTAAAATACCTCTGATGAATTTGGAAAATTTCCAGGAGCGGCAAATCAAGCTTACATTAGATCAACGCTCAAATATCTCAGTAGTCGTACATGTATCGACTTTGTTGAGAATCCTACAGCACCTAATCGTATTCAAGTTTTTGATGGATCTGGATGTTATTCGTCAGTCGGGATGAAGGGAAACGAACAAACGTTATCATTGGCTCAAGGCTGTATTGTTGTAAGTTTCGCTTACTTGGAGCATCAAAGTTCAGAAGTTCACCACAAAATGGTGGGATGTGTCGTTAGGTCAGATCGCGCAGCATATTTCAGTTACACATGCTACAAGAAATTCTTTATGCCGCGCAAAAATGCAACACGCCTTTTCGCCAGAGACGCCCTGACATAATGGCACATAGGCAAGAAGTGAACTGATTAGCTCCTATCTAACTCAGTGGTACCCATGAACTTCAGGAGTAAAACTGCCCCCAAATGGACAAGGGAATTGCTCTAATCAAACACTTTTCGTTTAAGATTGGCACTGTTGCGCACGAGTTCATGCACGCTCTGGGAGCATTGCATATGCACATGCGAGATGACAGAGATGATCATCTCAAAGTTGATCTGACAAACGTCCCGGTAAGGTTTTATTTTAATTCCTTAAATTTTTGTTAGTTCTTTCACCCATATCCGAGATGAATTAGTTCATTAACCCAGGAACGGGCTTCTTCATAAACTACCTGAGCAGTGGTACTTAATGAAGGAGTCCGTTCCTGCTCATTGCTCAAACTCACTATTTCATCCCATAGGCCCATAAAAGTTCTCATTGTATTGTACTATCTATCTACAGAATTCCAGGAAGCCAAACAATCCAACTTCCTCAAGCAGACCAGATCGATCAATCATTCACCATATGAATACGGTAGCACCATGCATTACTCTAGCGACGCGTAAGTTTTAAGTAAACATCTACTATCTTCGCTCTTATACTGCTTTTTTTAATGAAGGTACTAGTTCCCGTAAACATTTCCTCCCAGTGTCCTACTAGATGAGTTTGCTGTACATGTATGTATGTACGGGCGCATGCTTTCTAGTGATCCTTCATTTCTTTCAGCTTCACCACCAGTGGTGATTCAATGATACCTCTTATACCAAGATTTAAGCAGACGATGGGTACAAAAACGATTTCGTTCTACGACCTACATATGATAAACGCACAATACAAATGCTACGGTTAGTTTTTACCCGTCGGTAACATGCTGCCCATAAGCACTGCCGCTGACATTGGCAGAAAGACATGAATATGCGACTGGGAAAGAAGGAGCAACTCGAATAGTCAGCTATTTTGTTGACAGAGTGATTATCATTCGCTTTTCATGAATTTCTTTACAGCAGCATGCGCTGGTAAGGTACCAAAGTGTGTAAACGGTGGTGTTCCGAATCCTAGAAATTGTGCCGTCTGCAATTGTCCAGCAGGTTACGGTGGAGCACTCTGCAACTTGAGGGTTAGTCGTTTCTACTGAACTACATGAATCTTTTGTTAAACTGTTGAGGAAAGCTTGAAACTCCATTTCAGTAAGAGGAAAAGTTGAACCTAGGTTGTGGACAAGTGTCACTGCGTTTATAGTGACACGAACCATTGAGAATAGGTTCCGAAAGTGGAACCTACGCTAGTCATGGGAGCGTGTCGCTCAGCCAGTGAAGAATGCTGGCCGTCGATGGGTTCATCCAAAAGCGCCTCATACACTTTCAGCTCAAAACTCGCACTTCAGGATCAGTTCAGAGTGCGACAGCCAAAATGCATATTGAAAGTTTCTAGAACATGGATAGGCTCCCATGTTTGGTTATCCCCTCATGAGACTGAAGCCGAAGAAACGGGTATCAGTGATAAGGACTTTCAGATATGTAATTCAGGAAATAGGCCTCAAAGCGACGCTCATGCAATGTGACAAGCAGACCTCTGCTGCTTCTCAATAGAAATCATATTCTGAAGGGATAAAGAGAGCAGCCACAGAGCACTTTCAGCCTGCCGCTTGCGGTGCGACGCTTACTGCCACAACTGCCTGGCAGACGAAAAAGGTTACAGTTGGTGACGCTACAATGACCACCACCAGTGAGTCCTACAAGATGTGCGTTGACTGGATTAAGGTCGGTACCGAAATTTTAACGAAATCCTTGGCTTTCTGAAGTCATCATTGGAAATCTCAACATTTTACAGGCTCCAGCCGGTAAAAAAGTACAAATCCGAGTAACTGCACTACAGGGCGTTAACTGCAATGACGGTTGCTGGACACATGCCATCGAGGCCAAGATCATGGCTGACAAAAAAATGACAAATTCAAGGTATGGTGATGTACCTATTTTCAGTTGTTTTCGGCGGTCCATTGCCTCTATTTGTCAAATTAACTACATTCAACCCCTCAAATTTCACTTTGAATTATATTTTTTAATTGACTTGATTTAGTTTTACAATATGAACCTCTGACTTCATACTTTTCCATAAACATCTCTCTAGCACAGTAACAAAATCTTTTCAAGCGAATTTTACCTACTAAACGATTGTCGCTGAAGGAGCTGATGTAAAAAGTTACATAACTTTTCGCCTCCTTTGATCTAGTGATCTTCAACCGTGTAACACAATTCTATTTCAGGATCTGCTGCTCCGGACAGCTGAATCAGATTTGGCCAAGCGCCCTCAACCCGACTCCGATTGTCTCATACAGTATTCGTCAAGCGGCAACGTTCACTTACCAGTACAGATACGTCTAAGTACAGTTCCAATGTAGAGTGCGAATGAATATTTGGCCAGTTCGTTTTGTCGGTGCAAATGAAGGGAATGAAACCCTGTAATTGATTGTGTAGAGCGCGCCTTGACCTCAGAGTTCACATGAATTTAAAAAACAATGGCATTTGCAAGCTGGTTTATGAAATGTAAAGCCAAGGGCTGTTCAGACCAGAGCTTCTACCATACTGAACAATTTGCCCTACCAAATCGAATTTTTATGAGAGAGAGGACCTAGATCTGAATGAGGAGAAAATAAGGAGTAACACAGCACCAATCACTATTACAATTAAGCTTTTTTCTTCTTGGGCTTCAATAGAGGTGCTAAGGCAGAAATTAAGACGATTTCTGCCTTTTCTTGGCTCGTGCTAAGTTGACTTATTAAAAGGAACGAAGCCTAGAAAT